AGCCGTGACAGCCGTGCGATGTGCGACCGGTAGCTAATTTGGGTGTAGATCTAGGCGCACATCTAGGCTGGGCACGTGACATTCTATGAAAGAATGTGCCTAGATTTCTGGTGTGAAATCTATAAAAGAATACCGCTGCCAAGCTGAGTGTGGAGACTCAAATAGATGCGAGCGATCTAATTGGCTCAAAAATTTTGGGGTGCATTAGCGCGCGGGAAGGGTGTAAGTGGGTGGAGCGATTGTGTGGGAAGATATTTTCGACTGTCCGAAAAGACTTTCTTTTAAAAATATTAAAAATAAAGTCCAGTATTTATAAATACGCGGTTTTATTATATTATAATTATAAAAGTAGGGAGAAAGGTATTTTTTAAGCTATATATTTACCAATAAAGAGTTAATATATAGTATTATAAAAGAATTCGGCCGTAATATAGATATTAATTAGGAATATTTAAATAAATTATATTAAAGCCCTAATTTCGAAATTTTAGCCTAATATTACAATTAAACGAAATAGGATCTTTATAGGGACCGCTATTTATTACCCTATTAATTTATTAGTAAATTATTTATATTTATCCTACCCTTTATTCCCACTCTTAATTTTCCTTTACGAAGGAACTTCTTTAAATAGAAGGCTATTCCTTCGTAAAAGAAAAACCTAAATTTTATTAAAGTTCTTTCGTAAAGGAAGAATATAAATCGAAGATTAAATTAATTATATTATTAAATACTTATATTATCTGCTAATTGGAAGAATCCCTACTAAAAGTAGCGATACTAGTTAACGATATCAGTACAGGTAAGACGATTATATATATAATAATAGTATTTATATATTATTAATACTATAAGGAAATAATAGTATAAAACGGCTATTATAATACTTACCCTATATTAGTTTTAATGCCCTTATTATTTATTGCTTAGATTTTTTACGAGTATAAAACTACTTTCGGCGATATATTATCTTTTTAATACTTTTTTAACTATCGCTAAATTATAGGCTTTCGGGATATTTAAATAAAAGTTATACTATCTTAATAAAATTTTAATACTTTTATAGAAGAATATATAAAGAAGCGTAACGATCCGAATATTATTCGGATTATTATTATTATTATTATTAGTATTTATTATCGGCGTTAGGTATAAAATTTTCCATTCGAGCGGGATAAAAGTAGATTATTTTCGGATATAGATAAATACGTTTAATAGAAGTGCGCCGGTATAAATAAATTAGATATACCCTCCACTAGTAAGAAGAGTAGGAAAAAGGCTACCGGTAAAAAGGCTATTAGTAAGAAAAATAGTAAAAAGGGCGCCGGCGCCTCTATTAACGACGATATAATAAAGCGGTAGAAAATAAGGAAGAAAACGAATAAATTCTATAATACCTATTTCGAAGTTCCTTCGTAGGAGAATAATTCGCTTTTTAACCTATTATAATATTAATATAAATAATAATACGGAGGTAGTAAAAAAGAAAGTTAAAATATCTTATTATTATTTCGCTATAATTTCCATAAAAAGTATTAAATTTTATTATATTATTATTGACGAAACGTAATACTTGTAAAACTTATATTCGGCTACGTTCAAATAAATTTCCTTTATATTTAAATATACTATTATTTTCGTTTCCGCTACGCCTTTATTAAATAAGGCTACGGATTTATTGATTTTTGCGAAAATAATTTAGGATAATATAAATTTAAATATTTTATTCCCTACTAACCTTTCTAGATCCGCCCTTATATAATTTAATATATTATTATATTTATTTCGCTCCTAATATATTTGCTAGGACTATTGCGGAATTAAAAGAAATTAAATATATATAAAGTTATAAATAGTATACCCTATTTCCTCTAATATAATATTTTATTACCGATATTAGGTCTATTATTTTAGTTAATACCTTTACGGTAAGTAGAGGTTATAAATATATTTAAACAGTATATAATATAATTACGTATATAATATTCTTAAATAAAGCTTTAACTTACTTTTCCGCGAATATTCCCCTAATAAATATTTAATATAATAATTTTAGTTATAAGGTTTAAGGGGAATATATTATAGCGTAGACGGATAGTTTATTAATTAATTTAACGTTTATTTAATATTATAAATTCTATTACCGAAGTATTTACTAATAATATAAAAATATACTTCGAAAATTATTTCAGTTTCCTACGGTTTGGCTATAATTCGGGAATAGAGAATGAAAAGCTTTTTATACAATTCGGTATTAATATAATAAATTAATTATTATAATTTAATTTCAATTATAAATTAATATATATATTTTTATAATTAATTAACGACTTAGCCGTTTAACCTCTAGCGGACTTCTCGCGTATATTTACTTTTAATTATATTAAATCGCCTCTTTAAATTTAAATTCTAAAGAAATATTTCAATTATAAAGGGTTAAAAAAGCGGATTTTAATTATAGTAAATTCGTTATAAATATAAATATAAATTTCGAATTCTAACCCTCCTCTTTTTAATTATCCTTATTATATATTAATTTATATAAAAATAAGACCCTTATTTCTCTATTAGAGAAGGCGTTTTTCGTCGTCCGCTCTATCCGCTCTAATTAATTGTAGGCCGAATAAGGTATTATTATTACCAATTAAAATTCAATAAAGATTTTTATCGATATTTTTATTTTAAATTTTATAGTTAATATAGTAGGTTTAAATACTTATTAATAATACAATATTAATATTAGACTATTTTTCGTTTAAAACGTTCTTATCATTATATAATATATTAGACGTTTATACTATATTAAATAAATTAAACCCGTAGAATAGTATTTACTTATAATCTTCGGGACAGTTAATATATAATAAGAAAAAAGAATTATTAAAAAGGTTAATTAAATTATTCTTTTATAAAGGAAGAACGGTACTATTACTAATATTTTTAAATAAGTTTATACCTTCTAATCCGAATTCCTAATTATTTATATTAAAAATAATTTCTTCCGTACGGTTTACGTATACGAAGTTACTATGATTATAATAATTTACGAATTTAATTATTTTTTATAAGTAGTAAGCCCTCCATAAAGCGTAAATAAGTATTTTTTTATTCGAACTTAATAAATCGGCTATTTATATTCTTATATTATTACCCTTTATAATATAAATCCGGACGGCTTTAAAGATAACGAATACAGTAAAACGACATTTTTATTATTATTTATATATAGGCCTATATTTATTAATAGTAAATTTAAAAGAATTATAGATAATTTAATTTTAATACTGGCCTAATTCGATAGTAACGAATTAAATAACGAATTTAATTCCGAAGATTTAATAAATATTATTAAATAGGAGTAGACGGACGAAAAGAGGTAGAACTTTTTAATTAATTTAGCGCGTATTTTAATTAGAATTTTAAAGGACGAGGTCTAGAAACGGTTAAGAAAGTAAATAGTTTTCACGGCTTTAATTTCTTAAAACGACGTTAAAATCGAAAATTAAAAGGATATTAAATAAAGTAATATTAAAATTATTAAAATTCGGTATTTAGAATATATTAATACCCTTATTAAATAGCCGGCCTTCGCGACTATTATAGAAAAAAACGAGCCCTAGCGTAAGTAAGTACGTTTAAATATCGATATTATATTTAATAATAAAGATTTCGAATAAAACGAAAATTTCGCTTATTATTCGCTATTACTTTCTTCTCCTAAGGCAGAGAATTTACTTCCTTCCCCTATAAAGGAAGAATATATTTCCTTAAACGATTATTCTGCCGATTAAACCAAAATAAATATTAATATAGGATTCGATAATAAAGATTTCAAATAAAACGAAGATTTCGCCCGCTATTTACTATTACTTTCTTCTCCCGAAGTAAAGAATTTACTTCCTTCCTCCGTAAGGGAAAAATATATTTCCCCAGATAATTATTCCGCTAATTAAATTAAAATAAATATTAGACCTAATAACGAAAATTTTTAACGTATATTATTAATTACCTTTATAAATAAGAGAAAGTCTTTTCGCACGGTCACGAATGTCTATTTGAACGGTGATCCACTTTTTCCTTTACATATATCCCTAACCCTCGCGCGGCCACAAATATTACATATATTCTTTCGAAAATTTCGCCTAGAAATCTAGGCAATACTATTCTTTCATACGTGATATCAGACCGTAGTGCCCAAACCAGATACGCACCCCTATATCGCACTTTATAGAGTATTTTACAGTATACTTTATAGGGCACTTAGCGGTACAATCGCATATCGTACGGTCGTACATCGCTCGTCGCTCAATTAAACGATTAATTAATCGTATTTAATCTATATTAATCTATATATTAATAATCTATTTGAAATTTATTATATAATCGCTCAATTTCCTATTAAAAGGCTCCCAGAATTATTACTACGTACCAGCAATACGTATACTACACTATATACCTTATATATTAATAGGAATAATATTAGCCGGTACGTTTCCTCTCTTTATACTTCCTCTACTCCGGGTAGCATTACTTCCCTTCTCTCTTCTTCCTCTACCTTTCTATATATTTCCTCCTTTTATATTGCTACGAAGTCGGCTTCGTCCCCTCGTTTATAAAGTAGCTAGACTACGGCGGTTAACTCTATTTTTTACCTTTAAATCTACACCTTCCTAACTAAATACGATTTATTAAATTAATAAGATAACTTATATCGAAACTATTAGGTTCTAGCTTCGTACGGGAAGTCGGCCGCGGGTGGGCTAGAAGCGAAGCTTTCCTCGAAGTTGTAATACTATTGCTTAGAATTGAATTGGCGCGGTTGAGGGAGGGGGAATTTAAATATTAATTAGCGTAGTTAATCGGGGAATACGAAGATCAATTACGAAGGGAGTAATATTACGCGGGCGGCCACGTAAATTCTATACGCGGTCGAAATTTTAATAGGTGAAGTAATTATCTTCGTCCCTAATATTTTTCGAGAGTTACTAATATAAGTAAAAGGGGGGATGGCTCAGTTGGGAAGATCTGAGTCTGGTTTACCCTTTCGATTTATCGAGAGGTCGTAGGTTCGAATCCCGCTCCCCCCCCTTCCATCCGATCTTTTCGGATGGAAAAATCTTCCCCGCTGTCACCTATTAAAATACAGCGTTAAAAATATAGGGGGCCTAGCCTGGTCCAGAACCCTAGCACTACGTGACTGGGTACGTGAGGAAAAATCTTATCCCTGTTCGAAGATAACGGCCTCTCTCTCCGCTTCCGCCAATAGAGTTTGGAATTGGAGCCCCACCGCAAAATCCGTTCCAGAGCCACGGTACTAGCTCGAACCAGAACCCGCCCAGCCGAACGATATCGACCAATTAGCTATTTTACAATCCTGGTCTTCAAGTATATTCTGGCATATATAGCCGATAGAGGCTGTATCGGCGAAGAAACGCCTAAGAAGTAAGACCCCGCCTCCCTACCCTTCGATACCCTAAAGATAGGATAAAAGAGGAAATACCCGCTACCGAGGTAATTAGTTTGGGTGGGGAGGCGAGGTAACCAATTAGAAGCAACCGAGAGTTCTACCGGGAATAGCGATAGCTATCTAGAGTGGAAGACGAACTTAGAAGAATCCGATATCCTCCCGGGCTCCCGTGGTGAGATGGGATGAAAGTAGGGGATAGGGTTAGGATTAAAAGGAAGGAGCTGGAGGTTTTTACCCGGATTTCAACAACACGGTTTTTCCTCTAAATTAGAACGGAAGCAGCACCGCATACCTACTAGGTAGACTAGTTAAAACTAGTTAACGTGATAAGACAAATAATAATATAAGTAAAAGTCTAGCTTAATTAATTTTAATATTTCTTACTAGGGAATTATTATAGCGAGTAACGAATACGAATATAGTAAACTATATTATTTAATAAATTTGCCCATATATAACTCTAATTTATTAGGGTTAAAGCGACGTACTATAAATATAGTACCGAAGGTAATATAATATTAATATATTACTATATTAATAGTTTGCTAATATATTTAATTAGGTACTTCTCCTAACTATTATATATAGAAATATTCGAATTTAATACGCCTCGTTTAATATTCGATAACTTTATTAATAGTTAGTTTTATAGTATTAAATAGTTTAAAATTCTAGATAATTATTTGAATAATTGGACTAGCGCCTATATAAATAATAATAATTAGTATACTATAAAATTATATAGGAGCGATATAAGGAGATATATTTATAATTATAAAATTCTTTAAATTATAATTAATTAATTTAATTAATAATATAGTACAGTAATTGAAATTAAATTTTTCGTTAATATAATAAGTAGCCTATTACTCTTTAATAATTATATACGTAGTATTTAAATATATAATAATCGCCGTTTACTACGAAAAAAAGCTTTTAAATCTCTCCTAAATAGTATTAAACTCCTTTATAATTATTATATAGTAAGTATACTTCTAGAAATTATAAAATTTAGCTTATAAATATTCTATAATATTAAGTAGAATATTTAGAAGAGTATTACTATTAATTAATTAATTTAAGTAAATAATAATTTACTTATCCTTTTTATTAAATTTTTATAAATTCGTAGTATTATTAGGAAATCGTAGTTAAGGCTTTCGCGTAATCGATATTAATATTTCTTACTATATTTATACGCTATTTACGTCGGTATAGGCCTAAATAACTTAGGCAGCAACCTTTTTATCCTACTTACGCTTAATATTTAATACTACATTCTTATTAATATAAAAAATATATAGCTAAAGTTCCGCCACTAAATAAACTCGCTTAATAGCTACCCTTATAATATTATTATAATCTATAATAATAATTATAGGGGTAGCGGCGGCGATAATTTTATAACGAGCATTAATTTAATTTATTAATTAATTAAACCCTTCCTATCTTTCGTTATTTACGAGCCTAAATATACAATTAAAAGTAAAGCCCAATCTAATTATACTTATAATTTAAAAGAAGGCGAAACCTTAATTATTAGTTTTATATATATTATTATAGAACTATACTTATAAATATTACTTCTAAAGCTTTTTATCTTATAGATTACTTTAGAAGAAGGTTCTAGGTTTAATTTTAATATTATTTGCCTAATTAATTATAAAATAAATCCCCTTTTTAGTAAGAAGCTTTATAATTTATTAGAAGGGGTTATAATTAGTATTAGCACGCTTTTTAAAAGTATATCCAAAATTAATTAATTATTTAGTTTTAAAACGGATATTTAAGAATTTTTTATATAATTCGAAAGCGATTTAGCGGTTACGTATATTAGGGGGGTCGAAATATTAAACAATAAATACTTTATATTCTACTTTAAATACCTTATAATCTAATATATTCTAATTAGGGATATAAATATATTTATTATAGTCTTCTTTTAATTTAAAAATCTATTTCCTTTCGTTATTCTTTAATACTTTAAAATACCTTCCTTAAAAATAATTTTTCTTAATAGTTAATATAAATTGAAAATACGCCTAAAATTTGCAACGAAAGTTATTAATATAAATAATATTATATTTCGAAGGACCGAAGTCTAAGATTTTATTAATAGATTATATTTTAATAATATTATATCCCTCCTTTTAAACCTATTATTAAATAGTATTCTAGGTATTACTAAATTTATCGAGAAAGTCTTTTCGCACGGTCACGATTGTCTATTTGAACGGTGATCCACTTTTTCCCTCACACATATCCCTAACCCTCGCGCGGCCACAGATGTCACATATATTCTTTCGAAAATTTCGCCTAGATATCTGGGCAATACCATTCTTTCATGCGTGACATCAGACCACAGTGCCCAGACCAGATAGGCACCTGTCACGGCTGTTAGCGATTGTCACGGCTATTAGCGATTGGCTATCAGCAATTGTCACAGCTATCAGCGACTATCACGGCTGTCATGGCTGTCAGCGACTGTCACGGCTATCACGGCTATCAGCGATTATTATGGCTATCACGGCTGTCACGGCTGCCACGGCTGTCACGGCTGCCAGCGATTGTCAGCGACTGTCACGGCTGTCACGGCTGTCAGCGATTGTCACGGCTGTCACGGCTGTCACGGCTGCCAGCGATTGTCAGCGACTGTCACGGCTGTCACGGCTGTCAGCGATTGTCACGGCTGTCACGGCTGCCAGCAATTGTCACAGCTGTCACGGCTGTTAGCGTACGTGTGCTGTGCAGGGGTCAGACTATGTAATGGGCTGTAATCTGGGGGCTTGGCGGTCGCGGTACGAGCGAGACTGGTGCTGGCGGGGAGGGAACGGCAGGGTTAGGGATATGTGTGAGGGAAAAAGTGGATCACCGTTCAAATAGACAATCGTGACCGTGCGAAAAGACTTTCTCAATTTATTTTACTAAGTTATAAAAATAGGGTAGCGCTCTTCTTACTCTTCGTTATTAATTTCGATTATTAAAAAGTTATTATTATTACCAGGATTATCGTTATTATAGAAGTCTATAAAATCTAACTACATTAAAGTAAGCTCGATTAGGGTAAGTTCGATTAGGGTAGGTTTTAAGGAGGCGGGGTTGTCGGGTATATTTATATCCGTCGGCTAGGGAATTACGTTAGCTATTTACATTATTATAATTAGTTATAAAACGTATAGAAAAATAATATATTATTTCCTACCATTAAAGATACCAGCGGTTTATTTACTTAGTAATATTTTATAATATGCAATATAATAAATTAATTTCGTAAATAGGGGATAATAATATAAGAAGTTTAGTAAAGGAAGCGATACGACGATACGTACTAGAAAATCGCTAAGTCTAGTCTGGATTACTAGGTAGTATAATACGAAAAGTAGCCTATACAAGGGTTTGAACGTATAATAAGCTATAATCTAGGGGCTTAGCGGTCGCGGTACGAGCGAAACTAGTATTGGCAAGGAGGGTATAATAGGGTTAGGATATATATAAGGGAAAAAGTAGATTACCGTTTAAATAGACATTCGTGACCGTGCGAAAAGACTTTCTCATAAATAAAGATCCGCCCCTTTCCCCTATAAAGGAAGAAAATTACCTAAAATAGTACGAAGATAAAGACGATAGCTATATATCTAATAGTAAAATTATAATTAATAATTTAAATAAGGATAAAAAGGACGTTAAAAATTCTAATAACGAAGGATCCAGTAAAAATAAATAAGAAGATTAAATTTTTATAAGAATTAGGGACCTTCGTACTTTAATTATTCGCTTTTTTTCATTTATAATTTAATATAGAACCAAGCAGGGTTCGTCCGAGGGACTGCAGCCTGGGTAGCTAGCCGCATCCAGGCAAGGAGGGTAAGAGGTCGGCTACCCGCCGATAGACTAGAAAGCGGTGCCGCCAAAGCTAGGTGGGCTGAGGAATAGGCACCGACGGAGAAATTTCTAGCGATCGTAGTAGGTCCGCCCCCGGTAATGGGGGCGCCGCCGCCCCCGTCGTAAGCACTAGAACTAACCGCTACGGACTATAAAGAGTGGTTAGAAGAGGTAATAATAAGAGAATAGGTATTACGCTATAACTATTAATTAACGGCGGCGGTAATTAAATTAGGCCGACGGTACGAATTTACTATCGCCGATTTCAACCCGAAGTTTAATAGTAATACTATAAAATGGTATATAGTCGGTACGAAACGAAAAAAGAAGAAAGCCTAATAATTAGAAGACGACGACGAATAATACCTATTATTTAAAACGAAGAATTCCCTTTTTATTTAAGTAAGGACGGAAATTATAAGCTTTTAATCCTTCCTCTTCTAAAAGAAGGTTCCGGATATTATAATACTAATTTATTTTTATAGTACGGGTAAAGAAACTTTTATGTATATTATCTTAAATTATTTACGGATAATTGACTATTAGACGACGGTAGCTGATTAATTATAAATAAAAAAAGAGTTCTAAATTTATTTAAACGACGGAACCCGAACTAAAAGAATCCTTTTGTAAATATTATAATTTAATAAGTTAAATAAATACCGTTTAATAATCGAATTAGAAGGAAAATAGCGTGATAAATTCGTATAGTATTTGTAAATATATTTAATTATAATA